GAATGGGAAGCTTTGGGTCCTCATTCCAGTAATGGTCAAGTGAAGACAGCCTAAAAATCCTCTGATAAATAACCAGAGCGATCCAGGTAATAAGCTCTTTGTGGTCTATGTTTGTCTATTGTCTTCCAGCAAGGCCAGCACCTTTAATCAATACATATGAATTCGTATTGAAGACAATTTTGTCCAATAAAATGTTTGTAAAAAAAAGAAAAAAAAGGTTGATCAGTTTTGAGAAACCAACTTCATAATTTGGTGACAATTTAACAAATGCCTGGTGCAAATTTTTTGAATGAACCAATGGTTCAAAATTTGAGGGTGGTGGTGGCAATTTGGGTGTTTTTTTGATTGCTTGCGGCCCTTCCTATTACCGCTTTCAACAACTTCGTCTTCCTCTTCATCATCTGATTCCGTGTTGTTCAAAGAACATTGTTGGAATGTCAAATGTGGAATGTACTCTTCGTCCTCACTGTCAGAAAATACCTCAGTATTTTCAGGTGGGGTAAATGCGATGAACTCGCCTTTGCCATGGCTGTATATTGGTTTTTTTTTTTTTTTTTTTTTCTTTTTTAATTTTAAATTGATAGCGATTAATTGATAGCGATCAATAGATAATCGCTGAACTGCTAATACGTATGTATGACGTCATGTACAACCATCGCGTGATATGAAGTCACAAGTTGATCTGCAAAATAGTATACTTTAATTCTAGTTTAGGAAAGGGGGGTACTATTGCTAGGAAAATCGGGCGCAATCGTACTAAATCGAAAAAAAAAAGATTTTAGCGGGCAAATTTGCCTGCTGGACGGTTTAAGGGATAAGTCACATGCTGTGCTTAATAGCCATACGCAAAATATTTTAATTTATCAACATGGCTCAGTCTTTCTAAAGTCTTAGAGGATTTGATCTTCGCTGTGTTTTACTTTCTACAGGGGTTTTGACTCTACCAGGGGTTTTGCCAGAGTTTCGCCGCTTTGCCATAGTTTCGCCGTTTCGCTAATTTTGACTTTTGCTGGGTTTAGTTTCGACTTTTGCCATTTACCAAAAATAGTTTTGCCTAACAACAGTAGGTGCAGGTGTATCAAAAATGAAAGTTTTGCGCTGATGCCACCCCGGCATGTCATTAAACCACATGATAGATATACTCAATTTGGATTGGTCAGTTATCATCTATGTACTATAAAATACACTTTCGGAATACTTCGGAGCATTGCTCCAATTTTTCTTTTGAATTTACATTATTTAATTTTCAATTCGGAATCTTTCAGAATATAGATAAATGGCATACCTATAGGCAGTGTTGTACACAGACGTTGTCCTGTTAAAATTGCAGGGACACGAACTGTCCCGGACAGTGTCCCATGTCCCGGATATTTTCCAATGTCCGTGATGGCGTCCCATGTCATATAGTTTATCGAACAACCCGATTGGCTAACAAGGATGTTCTTATTATAAGTTTAATTGTCCGGGACAAAAAAATGTCCGCGGACGTCCCGTCCCGGACTGTCCGCGTCCGTGTCTCATGACAACACTGCCTATAGGCAATTTTGGTGTTGGGCATGTCTATGGCATGCAACCATAGGCATGCCACCCTGGCATGCCCATGAGCTCTGTGCCACTCACCCTAACTGTAAGAAATCTTTTGTTATCAAAACAAAATAAAAAAAGGTAATTTTTTACGTATTTATTTACCCCCAGTTCGTATGAGTGAGCTACAATCTAATTATTCGCTAACGCTAATCATTAAACGCGAAACGTAGATCGGTTTCTATTTTTACACGGTATCCGATAGGTCTATTGATAATAAAAAAATTCTATGATGAAAGAATGATAGTCTTTTTCTTTATCAATCGTCATAGATTTCGGTATTCATCATAAAATTCATTCATTTTCGTAGTTCGTCGTAGTTGATCCTTTTTTTTTTTTAATTTCTATTTATTTGTTTATTTATACTTCAATAAGATATGCATTGTCGTTTCTTGGCATGCGTTAACTTTTCAATGATTCCCTAAAAGAAAAATCGCATGGTTTTAATTTTTTCAACATTTATTATACTATTTACCCTTTCAAAACCGATCCTGTCAAACCGATAACCTGTCATAGCTGATTAAAAATTAATCCACCATCTCCAAATCTGAAAAATGTATTTATTGTCCGAAGCTATTGTCCGAAGTGTAGTGGGAACCATCTACAGACTAAACAAATCGAATGCAATATCCAGCGGAAACAACCAATGAAATTCGGGACTTGCTTGTTCTGCAGTTGGTGTATTAACTTCAGATTCTGATACCTAGTTCAGTAGTTAGTAACTAACTAGGAAAACAGATACTGTTAAATATCCAGAACTAAGAGCCATTATCTAATCTAGAAACAGGCAAATTAATGATCATACAAAATTACATTATGCGCACATTCAAAAAAATTTACGTGACATTATTGGTCTATCACTACATAGATCGTCCTCCGCTACGCTCCGGATAATAGCGATAGCAAATCCGATATTTGGATTAATGAAAATCGGGTTTTGTGTAACAATATAACATGTGACTGGCTAGCATACAGTTTCTCAAATTCGGTAATCTCTACATACCAGTTTAGACTGTATTGTATATTATATACTATATGTATACAATATTTAAAATTAGTCATAGGTTTCGTCATTCGTCGACTTGAAATCACTTGACGAATGTTTGTTATTCGTCAGGCATCATTAGCGACAATCTAAACGACAAGCTACGAGCAATTTTTTCAACTAATCAAGTCATTTTGAGAATGAATTGAAATTGATTTTGAATTTGCGTATTACAACCAATTCAGCTTTTAAAGAATTTGCTATTATTTAGCATTGCTTATTTATTATAATAACTAAAAACCGGAAAGGAAACCGAGGCTAGAGCCTAAAATTTTGAATGTTCAATCAATGACATTAGTCCCTGGAAAATCTGGTCACGTACGAATGTCGCAGATCATATTTTTCAGTCGGAAAATGCCGAAACTACGTTTTTGATATTTTTATTATAAATACATCAAAATCGTAAGTTCGATCATCAAAGCGCATATAAATGAGTCATCGGCTTCAATCCCCGACAGAAATAGAAATTGAAACCCAATTTATAAACAGAATTTAGATATAGTGTAAACGTTATAGAACACTGATGGATAGAATTTCAAGGTTTATCTTTAGAAAACTCACACGTAATAGTGTTGGTCTTTTGGAGGAGGATCCTGTAATTGTGATAGATTTATTAACATTGACCTCTTTCTCACGAGGCACATAAAGACTAACGAAATACTGTAAATACAGTGATAATAAATTAATAAATTAATAAATTACTATTGTGATTACTATTGTGTACGGAAGCTGTTTGTCTTAATAAATATTTATTGCTTTCACGATTAATAAACGCTAAACTCAGATCACCTATTTCTCTCTTACGTATCTGGTATTTACTGTACGTGTTACGTAATTCTGACTATCGTTATCTGTTATGTGAAATTTTAAAGATATTACACCATAATATAATAAGGTTTATATTCAACACGTATAATAGCTAACGAATGAATGCTTCACGTGCGTAATATTTTGTTTCTTAACATCAGGCATAGAAGAATCTTAAGATTAGATAATGATGGAAAAAAAGAATTCGAACAAAGAATATATTTGAACAAAAAAAAAAAATAATAATAGTATATTATGGTAAAAAAGAATTACAAAGAAAAAAAACTTTATCTAGAAACAGTTTAGATATGTGAAAATTAAGTGAAAATCAAAATGTTTACGATTTATGACAAAGACGTAACATTCTAAAAAGATAAGCTTGCATGTTTCATTGTTCTTAACAAAGGTCATCGATTGTAAGTAAAGAACAAACAAATTTTTTAATATTCTATTTACCTCATTTTTTTTTTAGAAATATATATACACATATATACATATTACGTTTATGTTTATTCACTTCTTAACTACTTATAAGAATTGATATTCACTAGTTATTGTATTATAAATTTCAGGTTTTTTTTATTTAAAATAGGAAGACAAGTTACGATTGTTCTACTTTGTTTATCACAATTGTTATAAATCTTATCATTATTTTAATAAAAAATTTTTATAAAGTAAACCAAACTACACAGCCAATTAATTAAAAATACTCGTAAGACTTTTAAAAAAAAACCGAAATTGTAAGTATTTATTTTATATAATTTATTTATATAAAGTTAGTATGCTTTAGAAAAAATTAAAAAAAAATTAGGTTATGTAATAAAAATCGGCCGATTTTGGAATTAAAAAAAGATTCCCTTGATCACCAAATGAGTCAAATTCGTATCTATGCTGTGTAATCCATGCATCAAATTTGTCATAATAGCGTTAATCATCAATGCTAATCAATATAAATTTCTGCCATTTTTTAATCACCTGTGCATTGTTTCAATATTTTCCATACATGCTATGATGATTTACGTTTACATTCATTTCATGACTAAAAATTGATAGCTGTCGTCATATTATATATATACTCTATGGTTCTATAAAGTGACTTTTCATTTTGTACGTTGGATGTAAGCGGGGGAATCTTTGACTACAATTCAAAAATGGGAATAATATGCAGCCCATAAATAAAGAATGGTGTTACACACTCCATGTAATATATTCAATACATTTATACATCTCCCTTGTCAAATGTAAAAAAGATTAATCTTGATGGCCGAAATAGATAAATACATGTAGTATTAAAAAGTTCAATTCGCCTTTTTCCTTTTCTTAACTCATTATCTTGTATATAGTTTTTTTTTTTGAAACTAAAAGCTCTCAATAGATCGCATAGTATTTTACTGTTTCATATTAATAAATGTGCTATCATTTTTATCAAAGGTTATTATTATTTTTTTATTATTTCATTTATTGTATTATTTTGGTCGAAATAACGCGTCATTTGGTTACTTTCGCTGTGAACTTTTGCATGCTGTCGTGTATGCATGTGGTTTTTTTTGATTATGAATTGAAAATGGCTCGTGATAATTTTTACCAAGATTGCAATTTGGCTACACGACAATTATGTGTCGAATTATAATTAACATTATTAACCTATCATTCATCATATTTTATTTAGAGCTTCTCAACTCTCATTCTTTCCCAATTGAAAAAAAAAAAAATCCCACACGTCTAAATCTGTCTCTCAAGGTCTCTTAAAACGGTTAACACCGAAATATATTTCCAAATTACCCTTTCTATTTAACCACGGATTTATTTGTTAAATATCCAGTACATATTCATACATATTGTTCGAATACTACCAATAAGTTCATTGTCATTTGGTTAACCTATGACAACAACCTTGTTGTTTTCTAAGGTTTAACGATTCATTTTTTCATTGTTCGAATTTTTCTTTACCTTTTCCTCTTTACCCTCGATTTAACCTTCCATCTCCATAATACTCGTCATTTCAGTTATAATTTATAGAATTTGGCAGAATTTGTTCTTACTGGACTTGATGCATAATATAAAATTATGACTCGTGCGAGTGATTTAACTTATTTATGTAAGTCTTCATCCATCAAATGAAATTTCTTTCTTCTTAGAAAACAAATCATTCCCTTATAATTTTTACATAAATTATCATTAATATACTTACATTCTATATTCTTGCATTTTTCATTCTTACATTTTTCGATAAAAATAGTTCGTGCAGTATTTACTACATGGACTTTCGCTTGGTTTCTTCAGCATGTTTGGAACATTGATCGATTTGAAGCATTACGATGGCGGCGCGTTAGAAGATTCGAATTGGTTGATATATTATTCATTTTCATTACTTTTTATTTATTTTGATTAATTTTATAAACTAAATTTTGAATTTAATTCTTTGAATCAACTTTAATAGAAATCTGCAATCACAATATTACTATGCATCATGTGTCCGTTACAGGCAACTTACGATATTGCTACTGCAAAAATAAAGTATACTGAAGGTTTCATGGTAATTCCATATAATGGAGAAATTATTACAAAACCAGTGCAATTTTGGAATGATGAAAACAGACGATTGGTTACGCCTATCGATTACGTTCTTTGTGTCAATTTTAGTGCTCAAACGTAAATATATATATTTTTTTTTTTACTTCTATCAACTCTATTCAGTCAAATGAATACTAATCTATACTAATATCGTTTTTAATTCAAGGTGCTTGTTATTCTTGCTTCAATCATTTTGGAATTATCTTGCAAATAATATAGCAAAAACAACTTTTATGGGTAGTTTTGGTACGTTTTACATACAAATTTTCCTCGATAAGGATATATCTTTCTCATCTTTATCCTAATTAAATAATAGAATTCAAATCATATATAATATACTCCGTATTCAGTTTGGCCTTGTTTCCATTATTACAATGGCTATTTCGTTACGATAATATATACACTGAAGTAGTCCCTCAATTGGCTTTTGGAGTAATTTTGTTCATAATCGGTTTATTGGGTGTAAGATCTCATTGGAGATTTACAAGATTATTAAGAATTACCAGGAGTGCTAATGCTTCTCAATTGGGCATTGTATTAAAATTAGAATACTTTAAGGTATGCTTAAAAGTAGTATTATCATTTCTCGTTTTAATACTGTGTAATATGTATTAATGTACTAATCACAATTATAATAATAATATTAATATTAATAGGAAATGAACCGATATTTGACTTGGGGTCTTTTTATCGCTTCTACATCCTTGATAATTTTATGTGTCGATGCTTTCACTCCGCAAAAATATCTCAATAGTCATAAATTTACCATGGATATTTTAATTAGTCATCTAAATTTTACAATTTGGATAGTATTTCTCACCTTGATTTTGATTTTTTATCCATCATCAAATACTTTAAATGATACGTTAACAATGAC